CCCCCCCTCCTCCTCATTTAGTCTTTCTCTGATGCCTCACATTGCTTGATTTCTTTCTATAGAAAAGCTACCATAAAGCTGGACATGGTGGTACATGTTAGAGTGCATCTGGGTTTGATACCCAATACCACAAAAACAAATGAGTGTAATTTAGGTGAGCTGATGCATGCCTGTAATCCCAGTACTCAGGAGAGTGAGACAGTAGCATTGTGAGTTAGAAGCCAGCCTAAGCTACCTTGTAAGACTTTGTCTCAAAACTAAAACAAAAAACAAAGAGAAAGAAACTGTAAATAGTGTTATCTTTCCAGATCTAGAGTAGTCTGTAACCCCAGTTTTTTATTCAATCCAACAAAAAACAAGAAATGAGGGGCCAGGTATTTAGCTCAGTGGTTCTGCCACCTGCCTTATAAGCGCAAGGTCCCAAGTTTGATCCCTGGTACCCCCCCAAAAAAAGAAGAAGGGCCAGGGATTTAGCTCAGTGGTTCCAGCACCTGCCTCACAAGCACAAGGACCTGAGTTCGATCCCTGGTACCAAAAACAAAACAAGCAAACAAAAGAAGAATAAAAAGTGAAAATCTTTAAAAATTTTGCATTTCTCTGGTCTAATCAAAGGAGCATTTGTTAGAAGGATGGAAGTACCAAAAACTGGTTTCTTGCCCAAGTAATTTTGGAAGATGCTTAAAGAATACTTACCAAGGCTTCATGACCTCAGAGCTCTCAGTACCTTTGACATATTATCAAGCATTGTGGATGTCTAATGAGAGGATATCATTTATACCACTTATCAAGCCAATTTATCTATGGCCCTTTCTCTCAACATACCTTAAACCTTTTTTCTGAAGAATATACAAAGAAACTCGGTTTGGAAAATGGAATGTGTGGTAAAAAGTTCCTTGTAGACATGATTGTATTTTGATTTTCATATGAAAATTATACAATCTACTTAGTCAATGTTAAGAATAATCTGAACCAGGGAGGGGGTATAGCTCAGTGAGAGAGTGCATGCTTAGCATATGTGAGGTCTAAATTTAATCCCCAGTACCCCACCCATCAATCCACACACAGGCACACAGAATGTTTGAAGCCAAACATTTTTTTTTGCCTTCTCCAGCCTCCCTACATCCATTTTCACTGGAAAGTAGCAAGTGACATTCAACATCACTTTTTCCATCAACCAAGATATGATAGAGATAGCTAAAACTTTGTTCTTCTCTGTGCCAACATAGTAGGTTCTTACTAAATATTTTCATAATGAGGCTTGACAGGCTGAAGAAAACACACACACACACACACACACACACACACACGCACATAAAAATGTGCTCTGGCTTGTAGGGATTGTAATGTAGAGTCTCTTACATTGTACATTTCTGTAGGTTTTCTTCTTTTGTTTTGGTTTTGTTTTCTTTTCCTTTTTGGATTCCTATATAACCCAGGTTGGCCTCAAACTTGAAATACTTCTGCCTTCGCCTCCTGAATGCTAGAATTACTGGCATGTGCTACCATGCCTACACAATAATTTTATAGTGCCATTAACTGTAGTGATTCAGAGAATGAATTTTTTTTTCAGACAGACCTTGGTCTGAACCCTGTCTCTAGCATTTATTTACTGCTATGACCTGAGCAAGTTACTTACTTCACTTGCCAAGGTCCTGAATTTTTCATTTATAAAATAAAGGTCATCATAATGCCTGACTTTCAGGATGGCTTGTGAATGAAGTAATTCACTAAAAGATCTTAGGTGCAAGCACAAGGACCGAGTTCAATCCCCGGTACCAAAAAAAAAAAAAAAAAAAAAAAAAAATTTAAAAAAAAAAAAAAAAAAAAGATCTTAGTATATGGGGCTGGGAATTTAGCTCAGTGGTGCTGCATCTGCCTCACAAGTGCAAGGTCTTGAGTTCGATCCTGAGAGGAGAGGGAGATCTTAGTAAATGACTAGATGTGCAGCTGAGTGGTAGACTGTTTGCCTAGCATACATAAGGCTCTATGTTCAACCTGAACACCAAAACAAAACAGCAAAAACCTGGCACTTGGCAGATAATTTTTTTGTGTATTCACCAGTCTTGTTATTATTTACCCTTTATTATAGATTTTGAAATCAGGAGTGAGAATGAAGTAAATCCAAAGCAAGAAATTAGTGAAGATGTAGAATTTGGGACCACATCTGAAGGACCTGGTGGGAATGTGGAGGAAAATCCTGAGAGTGAAGAGACCTTTGAAAGCAGGGACAGGTCAGAAAGACAGTGGGGAGATTTGACAGCAGAAGAGTGGGTGAGCTATCCTCTCCAACAAGTCACCGATCTGCTCGTCCACAAAGAAGCCCACACAGGCATCCAATATCACATATGCTCTCATTGTGGAAAGGCCTTTAGTCAGATCTCGGACCTTAACAGGCACCAGAAAACCCACACGGGAGACAGGCCGTATAAATGTTATGAATGTGGAAAGGGCTTCAGCCGTAGCTCCCACCTCATTCAGCACCAGAGAACACACACTGGGGAGAGGCCATATGACTGCAACGAGTGTGGGAAAAGTTTTGGAAGGAGCTCTCACCTCATCCAGCACCAGACAATCCACACTGGTGAGAAGCCTCACAAATGCAATGAGTGTGGGAAAAGTTTCTGCCGGCTGTCCCACCTAATTCAGCACCAGCGGACCCACAGTGGGGAGAAACCATATGAGTGTGAGGAGTGTGGGAAAAGCTTCAGCCGGAGCTCGCACCTGGCCCAGCACCAGAGGACACACACAGGCGAGAAGCCTTATGAGTGTAATGAATGTGGCCGAGGCTTCAGTGAGAGGTCCGATCTCATCAAACACTACCGAGTGCACACAGGTGAGAGGCCCTACAAGTGTGATGAGTGTGGGAAGAATTTCAGTCAGAACTCTGACCTCGTGCGGCATCGCAGAGCCCACACGGGGGAAAAGCCGTACCACTGTAATGAGTGTGGAGAGAACTTCAGCCGCATCTCACATTTGGTTCAGCACCAGAGGACCCACACGGGAGAGAAGCCATATGAATGCAATGCTTGTGGGAAAAGCTTCAGCCGGAGCTCTCATCTGATCACACACCAGAAAATTCACACTGGGGAGAAGCCCTATGAGTGCAACGAGTGTTGGCGAAGCTTCGGTGAAAGGTCAGATCTAATTAAGCACCAGAGAACCCATACAGGAGAAAAGCCCTACGAATGTGTGCAGTGTGGAAAAGGGTTCACCCAGAGCTCCAACCTCATCACGCACCAGAGGGTCCACACAGGAGAGAAGCCTTATGAATGTACTGAGTGTGAGAAGAGTTTCAGCCGGAGCTCAGCTCTTATTAAACATAAGAGAGTTCATACTGACTAAGTCTTGTAATTATGATGACTGGGAATTGATTCACTTGAAAGTACAGTTTTATTTGATATCAGTGAAATCCCTTATAATGGTGATCCCTTTATCCTACTGACTATCCTAGTTGTGAGTCACAATTTCAAACATCAAAGAAGACAATCTCTTTGAAATTCTGACCCACTTTCTCCAAAATAATAATTTTTACTCACTCAATATTAATGGATTACTACATCAGATCACACAAGAAGTTGGAAATCTGAAGATCAGGAGACAAATGCTGGTGCATGCTCAAGCCTGGATGTGGAGTAAATCTTTAAAAATTATTTCTTTGAGCTTTGGCCCAAAAAGCTCTGCTAGGAGAACTGTAATAGGGTGGTCACTGCTGCCTTGGGAAAAAGGCAACCAGACTTGGTGTGACTTGGCACATTTAGTCACACCATAGTAGTTGGGCACACGCTTCCGCTCCAAAGGGCTTTTTCCTTGAGTTGCTCACACATTTGCATCTTTCTGTCTTCCTGAGAGCAGAATTCTGCACGATGAAGGCAATGATCATAACTTTTCTGCTTCTCATCATTTCTATTTAAGTTGTTTAAAACTTGCATCTTTGTGAAAGCTAACTGAAGATACGGTGTGAAAGGAAAAATGAGACACAGGTTGGAGGACCAGGGACCCACTGAAGGTGGTAGCTTTAGCAAAAGATGCCCACTGCGTTATTGTCATTAATCAGGTTCATGAAACGGAAGGACATTGTAGGGAACATATCTGCAAGGCAAGATAAGATGATACGTGATATCGGAGTGAAAGGAACAAGTGGAACTAATGGGGAAAGAGGCACAGTTATTTCCCAAGGAACGTGGGTCATTTCTGTGCCTGTTCCACTCTAATCTTTAAGATTGATTCTCCCGATACTGCTAACTCTAGGGTTCAGTGGGGCCACACCTCAGTGTTTTATCTTAGCTTGCATAAGGGCATGTATATAATACAGTGAAATGTGTACACTTTGTTTTTTTCTAATGGCTGAAACAACTCAGAAAGAATGAGCATGTTCTTGGGTGACGTGGATCACGTGACAGAACTAACACATATAACTTCAATGTGAGAAATGTCCCTTTTTTCCATTTGTTATGGACAAAATTTAAACGCGAGTGTTCAAGTGTGCACTCTCTTGTAAGGGTTGTCTTTGTACAGAACTAAGCACTCGATTGTATGCGTCCATCAGTTGTGAATGATGACGACCAGACAGATAGGAGATTGTCCTATTCTCAGATGAATTGTGTTCTGTGGCAATGAAGAACTCATTGGCGTGGTCAGAAGGAATTAATAAGCTTAAGTGGGAATGTATCTCCATCTCCCCTGCCTACAGATGTAAGTGGTTAAAATAACTGACCCAGTCAGCCTCATAATGTCAGTTCTTCTTATCTCTGCCTGAGTAGGAATTAATAAATACTCAGAATGTCCCTGTCCTAACCTGTGGGGACAGGAAGGAATGGGTGCTGAGAAGCTGAGACTGAAATAAGGAATATATTTTCTTTTGAAAGTGTCCCGAATGTATTTCTGCTGTGCTTTATTGTGAATGTTGTAACGTTTTAAAACTTTTTTTTCCCCCCATAGCTCTTTGGAATTTGGTGGTAAAGGAGCCAGTGGTCTCTCTCGGGTAGTGTACCCATAGCAAGTTACTATAACCTACAACGGGGTGAGAATGCCTCACCTGCAAATGCCACCACCTCAAAACAAAACAAGCCTGTAATCCCAGCACTTGGGAGGCTGAGGCAGGAGGATCGCTGTGAGTTCGAGACCGGCCTGGCCTACATAGTGAGTTCCAGGTCAGTCTCAACTACATAGTGAGACCCTGTCTCAAAAAATAAGAAACAAAACTCCAAACAACCAAGGAGGATCGCTGAGTTCGAGACCGGCCTGGCCTACATAGTGAGTTCCAGGTCAGTCTCAACTACATAGTGAGACCCTGTCTCAAAAAATAAGAAACAAAACTCCAAACAACCACTCCAAGGAAGGTTCCTCACATTGCCACTCCTATTTAAATACAAATGTGGGAGGAGGGAGCATGTTTTTTTTTTTTTCTATACAAAATCTAGCAGACTGTGGCTATTCATATTTGAATTACTAGGTGACATATATGTTCTTGGTAACTAAACTCATATTTGTCTTCCGTAGCAGTGTTGCGGATGGTTTTCATGGATTTCAAAATTTCCCTATGCTTCTTTGAGCCACCACAAGTGTCAGCTTGGGAGTGGCAACAGAAGACAGCCCCTCTGTGACCTGACTGCGTTTCGTCCCCCTTTCCTCTGCTGCCGGTGCGCCTCCTCCCAACCTGTTCCTGCTGCTGCTTTTTGCTTAAGAGGTGAAGGGCATAAGAAGAGACTCAAGTCTCCCCCGTCCCCATCCTTTCATGCATGTACACTCCAGCTGGGAAGTTCACAGGGCAAAGGCCACACCGGCTCTGCCTCCTCTTTCTGCCAATTGCTGACCATCTGGGCTGCTGAATTTCACGTAGAAGTCCTGCGTCCGAGGCTCTTCCCTATTGGCTTTTGCATGTCTTCTGCTCCCAAGTCCTCGGCTGCCTCTGCACATACCCCACACACTCTGTTCCTGTTTCCTATGGTTGTGGCGAGTGAATGAACAAGTAAGTCTATAGACCAGTTTTCCTTGTGGTATCGGTCACAGTTATCCTAGTGTCTAACTACGTCTGTATTGTTCTAACAATATTCTCCAATTAAAAGTATTATTTTAAAAATCAAAACAACTGAGGATTCTTGTAGCAATCCACCAATTCACATAAGGGCTTTTTTTTCGTTAGATTCATTAAATTTGGGCCCAGTTATCTTTACATTTGTGCTTTTTGTACAGATGTACAGATATTGTATGTGTTCTTTTGGGAATTTGGGAGGATCCTATCTTGAGCCCTTGGATATTGAAGAAGATGAACAAACATGGGCAGTTTGCCATGAAGGTTATGCTGGTGCCCAAAGCAACATGGAAACATTTGGTATGGGGGGTGACTCATTAGCTTTGGAAGAAGAAGTGAGATAAGGCCTTGTTGGCTTTTTTGGGGGTAGGGGTGGTACTGGGAATCGAACCTGTGCTAAGCAAATGCTCTGCCACCAAGTTATACCCCAACACTCCCGTCCCTTATTTTGAGACTGCATCTTGCTGAGCTGCTCAGACTGGCCTCAAACTTGTGGTCCTCCTGTCTCAGCTTCCCAAGTAACTGGGATTACAAGTGTGTACCACTGCCCCCTGCTACTCTACTGCTTTAAGGAGCTATTTTGTGGTATCCGTTAAGAATATTAAAATAATTTCTACTGAGCTAACATTGAGTTCCCAGCAGGAAAATATCCCTGATTATGTGTTACTAGGATGTAACTGCGACTTTCAGATTACCCTTTCTTTCCTTCCTTTTTTTTTTTTTCCTGGTATGGGCGATTGAACTCGGGTCCTTGCACTTGCAAAGCGGGCACCAGAACAAGAAGCCAGGCAGGTGGCGGCACCATTGAGCTAAATCCCCAGCCCTCCTTTCTTTTCTTTTTCTTTTTTTGTACCGAAGATCGAAGATCGAACTCCAGTCTTTCTGCTTGTGAAGCAGGTGCCAGAACCACTGAGCTAAACTCCTGGCCCCGCCCTCCTCCTTCCCTCCCCCCCCTCCCCCTCTCTCCCCCTCCCTCTCTCCTACTACTACTAGGTTTGAACGCAAGTGCTCTACCACTGAACTATACCCCCAGCCCCAAAATCTTTTTTTAATGGTCAGCCAGCCTAGGTAATGGGAAGAAGTGGTTTAATCTTTTCTTTGGGGGGAAAAAAAACAAATATGAAAGAAAAGCATTAACCCTATATCCAAATCTTGGAAAGGAGATTTTTATAAAAAAAATTTAAAAACTGCTTCCTGTGGTACAGTGATATACCCCTGTACTTCCAGCTACTCTGAACTGGGCGTCCAAGTCTGCCTAAACAACAAGTGAGACCTCTTCCCTTAAAAAGGCTTGGAGTGTAGCTCAACAATTCGGTGTTTACTTAACCTTGAGTTTAATCTCCAGCATCAAAAACCCCTCTTGTTCCCCTTTTTGTGTATGCAGCTCTTTTTTATTGTTGGGAAAGAAAGTTAAAGGAAAATGCTAATTCATCCAAAGTGTAGCTTTGGAGCCTCTCCCCAAGGGTGTCTGATATGTTAATATTCCACCATTGTTATTATCAAAACAATTTCCTTTCAGTGAACTGTCCTCTGGGAGGCTACCAGGAGGTTAGGGTGGTATATGCAGGCCATAGGCCACCACTGAAGGCACTAAAATGATAACTTGCTAAGTGGCTCCTTTGTGTTTTATTTTATTTTATTTATTTATTTTGGTACCTGGGATTGAACTCAGGTCTTTGTGCTTGAAGGCAGGAGGTAGAACCACTGAACTAAACCCCCAGCACTTCTTTTGTGTTTTAGAAGTTTACAAAGGGATTCTCATTCCCTTGGAAAAACAGATTCCTGAGGCATTTGTTAGATACCTACCTCTGCAACAGTAGCAGGTTTGGGCCTGCTTACATGTAATATATATGGCTTTAAGATAAGAAACATTGTTGAAATCCTAAGGGAACCCTAGTAGTAGTATGGGCCTATAATCCCAGTACTCTGGTAGGCTGAGGCAGAGGATCAAAAATGCAAGCCCAGGGCAGGTGATTTACTTCAGTGGTTCTGCCTCCTGCCTCCCAAGTGCAAGGACCTGAGTTCAATCCCAGGTACAAAAAAACAAAACAAAATTCAAGCCCAGCCTGGGGCAATTTAGTAAGACCCTGTCTCAAAAAATAAAAACAGAGCTGGGAAACAAAGACATAAAATTAATGAAAGAAAATAACCCTGTAATGAAAAGGGTCTTGAGGGAAACCATTGTTTTCCTAAATAAGATGAGGGCTGGGGCTTTAGCTCATTGGTTCCACCTCCTGCGTTTGTTGAAAAGAGAATGGAAAGGTGCTGAGGCAGCAGATGGGACCCTGAGAGTGACCAGTGATTGCTGTGGATGGAGCTCAGTGATGAAAGGATTCAGTGGCAGAGGGTAAAAAACCAATTTAGAAGCTGACTGATGAGTCTGAGAAACCTATTACATGTTATTGTGTACCTAGCAAGCATTTTAAAATGCAGGTCCAGAGCTTAGGACCAGAAGTGGAGCTTTTAGATAAAGAAATGGGAATAGCCGGTATGGAAACGGCAGCGGTAGGAAAACCATGCAAAGATGACCCTGATAAAATGAGAACATACTGTGTAGAAGAATGGAATCCTACAGATACTGATAGATGCAGGGGAAGACCCAGAAGGAACGACTGCAGAACTCGGGGAGGATCAGGGGAGGAGAGTCACAGGGCAAAGAATGTGTCACTTTCAAGCCATCCAAATGCCGCAAAGACGTGTAGTGACATGCAGTATTTGAAACAATGTACATGGAAAACTCTAAGTATTCTACTTACCATTAATGGTGATTAGAGAGCACATTCCTCCTTCGTCTAATGGATACTTTAACTGAAAGGTAATGCGAATTTAGTTACATAGTCTATTTATAGTCATTTCTTAGTGGTTTGTTGAATTTCCAAAACACACACGTGGTAAAGTGAAAATTATGATTACTCCAGGGCATCAGATCGATGTTGGGAATAGGATGTACTATCCTGGTACAATCAGATTTGTGGAACTCTTCATTTACTTTGTACTAGAATATAGGTAATACCCTCTTAGAATTCTGCTGGGTTTTAGTTATAAGCTTACAGGAATAACCTCCGTAAAAGATTTGTGGCATATGGCTCTTCCGCCTGCCTATAGGAAAGCCTGAAAATAATTAGAATTCAGTTGGGAGATACTGGTGTACATTTATAATCCCAGCATTCAGGAGGCTGAGGCAAGAGGATCACCGTGCGTTCCAGGCCTTCTTGGGCCATATAGTGAGTTCAAGGCCAGCGTGAAAATTACAGTGAGACCCTGTCAAAAAAAAAAATTAAAGGAGTTACATACGACATCTCCCAGAATGTGATTTCTGGAATTTCGGCAGCGTCCACTACTGCTGCCTGTGCCTGTTTCTTTAAAATAGCTGCGGAATTCAGCGTCAGTGGGTAGGAGCACTGAAGTCCCAGTGGGGAGTCGCCAGGGAATTTCCTTTGTGCTGAGTGGCAGAATGTTGTGACCAAGTGTTCAGCATTCTTAAATTGGATTTGACAGTCCTACTTGGATTTAAAAGTTGATTTATTTAAATCTTTCTTTCCTTTCCTTTGTAGTACGTGGTGTTGAACCCAGGGGAGCTCTACCCACACCCCCAGCCTTTTTTTTTTTTTTTGGACAAGATCTCACTAAATCGCTACACTGCACTGAGCTTGAATTTGCTATCCTCCGGCGTGCTGGGATCACAGGCATGTGCCACCACACTCAGCGTTTTACTGGTTTCAATTAATCTCTTGTTGGTGTAACGTAATGATGAAGAGAATGGAATCAGGAGTTACACTAGCGCTTGGTCTCAGCTCTGACTTCGCCCTTAGTTTCTTCCTTAAGGCGATAACATGGTAAGCGCTTAAGAAATGTTCACGAAACTGGGCAACGTAACGGCACACACAAGCCTGTATAATTCCAGTACTCTGGGGGATTGAGGTAGGAAGATACTAAATTGCAGCCTAGCCTGGGCAGTTTAGCGATTTAAGGAGACCTAGCCTCAAAAAAGGGGGCTGGGGCCCTTTAGCTCAAAGTGTGAAGGACTTGGGTTCAATCCCTAGTACTGTTTAAAAAAAAAAAAGTGGCTCACATAAGCCTGGAATTTGCAATCTTCCTGCCTCAGCCTCCCGTAGTGTTGGGATTATACAAGTGTGCCACTGAACACATGATTTTTGAGGGACACATGCAAACCATGGTAATAGGTTAACAGTAATTAAATTTTGGTTTATAGGTTCCGAGACGCTTGACGCTCAAGTGCATCTGTAAATTCTGCAGGCCACTTGACCTTCACCACTCCCTGAGGTTGGGCAGCTGGAGGTTGGGGTTGGGAGTGAAGGGCAAGGACTATCTCTTCACAAGGAAGCTAGGAATGTTTCTATGGGATGAGGTAGGTTTGGACTAAGGTGAGGACAGGCAAAAAACCAGTAGGGGTGAAAGGAGAAAAATAGGTTGAAGAGTGACAGTTGTCAATCCCTTCCCCTGCATGGCTCTTTTGGTTTCACAGATGGACCTATGTGTCTTATTTACTTTATGGGTATTAATCAGCTCCAAACCCGATGGGGAAAGGTCCCTGCTCTGTTATTTGAGCTACACATTACTCTTGAGCCATGCCCACTCTTATCATCTCTTTCAGTCTAAATTGCCTTTAACGATATATGGAACGGAGACAGGAGGGAAAGAGGCAATCTGCCGATCCTTCCAAGGGGTGATTTTCTATACAAATTCTCCAGCAAAATGACAAGTCAAATTAGCCTTAAATCGTGCTCTAACTAGGGCCAAAACGATGACTTAGAGAGGGGGCCCAACGCGTGCGGATGGGCGTGTCAGGGATGCCGGCTCCCGGGCTGGAGCGCCATGGCGGAGTGGGAGCGGCGCGGACTGTAGAGGGCGGGCTCTGAGGCGGCCACGCGGCGGCGCGAGGCCTAGATTTTTAGCTATCAGAGGCAGATGTGGAGGGAGGGGCCTCGGTCAAACCAAGGCCTGGTGCCCCGCAGCCTCTCTACTACCAGGGACTCCCACCGCAGTCCCCTTTGTGTGCCTGCCCCCGCCCCGGAGACTCTACAGTCAGGGACGCTGAGCGCCCTCATTGGTCCGGCCGATAGTTGCACTGATTGGCCCGCGACTCGTCCGATCGGGCCGCTTCACCTCATTAGTATTGGTCTTCGGAGCTGCCTGTCAGAACACCTCGGGAGGTGATTGCTCGGTGGCACGGAGTCCCTGGAAGCAGTTCCGGGAAACCCCGCGTGCTGCCGGGATCGCGTCTCTGTCCATGAGGGGGGGAGGGGGTGGCGTGCGCGCCATTTCTAGTCGTTTTCAAAGCGCCTCGCGCTGATTCTCACTGGCCCAGCCACCGGCCCCAGCTCTGCCCTGGATTGGTAGATTATGCTGATCTTGATGAAAGAGCAATTGATGCTCTCAGGGAATTTAATGAAGAAGGAGCTCTGTCTGCACTGCAGCAGTTCAAGGAAAGTGACTTACCACATGTTCAGAATAAAAGTGCATTTTTATGTGGAGTTATGAAGACCTACAGGCAGAGAGAAACAGGGCAGCAAAGTGCAAGAGTCCACAAAGGGACCTGATGAAGCAAAGATCAAGGCCTTGCTCGAGAGGACTGCTTATACTCTAGATGTAACAACAGGACAAAGGAAGTATGGTGGGCCTCCACCAGACAGTGGGTGCTCAGGTATG